AATCAACATGTTCAAAGTTTAAGTAATTCCGTTTAACGTGTTTATTTAATCTTCTATCGCTAACAAGACAGTATTAACGTTGTGTCTTCGATCTCAAAAATTTTCACAATCATTAAATGGGGGGTAGGAATATAAAAAAAATCTGTATATGGATTTCCGGTATTTAATAGGAAAAAAAAGCTATCAAAAATATAAATAAAACACTTTTGACGGTTGAAAACGCGATATATATTATTTAAACTTAATTGATTTTTTTTTGACTACGGGCCCGACGTTTCACATGCTTTGCCGCAGCCGACGGGGGCTTAACTCCAAGAGCACTGGGAACTGACTAAGCATCCGCGTTTTAAACCGTTAAAGTGATTTATTTAAATGTGTACTACTCGCGTAAACTACACACAGTATCTGCGATCAATTTTTTTCCGGCGACCTCGGAAAAAAATTACATTTACTACACAACGTGTGTGTGAAAGCCCGTTTCCCCTCGTAGGGCATGGGGCCAACACATTTCTGTGTCCGTTTCACCGATAGACTTCTTTCTTTGCCCACCAAACAATTTTATGTTTCCTGGGATTCGAACCTCTCGACTCTGCTTGCAATACGTTTAACCAATTGCTAGGCAATGTGTACAGGAATATAGTCTATTAAAAAATATCAATCTATTTTAAACACATTTTTCCTACATAGTAAAGGGCCTCGGGACACCCTGTATATGTCTATAATATAGAATTTTATCACGATAACAGCTTCCGTCTGTTTGCGTTTCGCGTATGCAAATATTTGTCCTTTGTTTAAGCGATTGTTTGTTTGTGTGAAACTACTTTCATAATAGCCACTGTATTTTAGTGTCAATATTAATCGTGGAGTTGATCTACTGTGAGCATCCTAAAGTCGGCAGTTCAATATCCGGGCGTGCAAGAATACTTATAATATATAAAGCTGAAGAGTTAGTTAAATAAAACACTTTAACGGTTTAAAACGCGATATATTAGTTAAACTTATTTGGAAATGATTTTTAACTTCGGCCCGACGTTTCGGATGCTTTGCAGCGGCCGCGGTGGTATATCGCGTTTTAAACCGTTAAAGTGTTTTATTTAAATGTGTACTACTCGCGTAAACTGTAGAGTTTGTTTGTTTGCACGCGCTAATCTAAGGCACAACGGGTTCGAATTGAAAATTTGTTTCTGTGTTAGTTAGAGCATTTATCGAGGTAGGCTATAAAACATTGCGCTGTAACTAATAGAAGCGAAGACACAGCGGGAAATGTAATCTAAACGGGGGATTTTCTGGGTTTCTGATGCGTACGCTGCGAAAACGGTTCAAATCCACAAAAATTATGATTAGAAGAATTATTTCTCTTTACATAATCTCAAAAACTCTCCGCGACACTATGTCTTTGTCTTGGTTAACTCAGAAGGACACGTGCGACCGATGTCGTGGGCAGCTTAAGGTTTATAAAGATGTAATCTTTGCAAAAAGAAATTTGGATGCCCAAAATAAGTAATCTACGCGAACGAAGTCGCTAACATAGTAATTAATAAGGTGTTTTATTGTTTAAAAGACTTCCTTAATGACAGGGCTGCCTCCAGGATACGATGCTCCTTAGGTCATTAATTCACAAAAATATATTAGTTCGTAGGACATGTTGAAAAAAGCCAGACTGAGTTTCTTGGGTGTTCTTCTCGGTTATGTTGCTCTATTGAACACTCTGTAGAATCACGACGAACAGACAGACAAACATGTTCTTTTTTTTTCGACGTTACGAAACGTCGGGCCGAGGTTTAAAATCATTTTAAAATAAGTTTAACTAATATATCGCGTTTTAAACTGTTAAAGTGTTTTATTTAAATGTGTACTACTCGCGTGAACAGAGACAGTATTTAATTCAAAATCTATTTAGAAAGAATTATTTTTGAGCGAGATTTGAACCGGCGTCCACAGCGTTCCGTGCTATGTATAAATGAATAAATTTAGCAAAAATTGGACACGCAATTACGTTTCTTTAAAGAGAAATTGGTACAATTAGACGCCCGCGACGTCTCAACGGGTCTAAAAGTTCACTTTATAATTTTGTAGGAAGTAATTAGAGGTCTACCATTTCGTGCTTCGGACCAAATTTGTGTCATTTAGCGTCGAGACACCCGCAGCTGGATTTGTGTCTGTATTAACACTCCTTTCATCATTTAAATAATACACTTTAACGGTTTAAAACGCGATATATTTTAGTTAAACTTATTTTAACTACGACCCGACGTTTCGGATGCTTGAGGCTGTCAGTGCCGTGATCACGTGGTAGATTTTTTAACTTGACGTCAGAGACACCTCCATCTTTAGTCTGCCCGTGCCACAGCCGCTGCAAAGCATCCGAAACGTCGGGCCTTAGTTAGAACAATTTTCAAATAATTTTAACTAATATATATCGCGTTTTAAACCGTTAAGTATTTTACTTGTGTGTTTATTATTTTACACTGTTAAATTTAAATTATGTTTAGTAATAAGAACTCTCTCTATCTCCATCTCGGTTAGACCCACCCCCCATTTATGACCCATCAAGCAGTTCCGATTCGATTTCAAGGTGCACCAACGCGGGTAAACGCGAAGCAAATTAATAGCACTCCATTATTCCTCGGTTCACCTCAATGGTACAGTGACGTAACATATTACGTACTTTATCGATGAGGCGAATCTATCGAGCAATTTGTGCACATCACTAATCTAATTCAGGTTTATTGGAACTGGTGTCTTTTGTTCGGTGATTAGTTAATCTGTTCTTGGATAAGTGGATGCTTAGAGATATCTACTTCAATTCTTAGCATTGGATTTACCATCAGGGGAAATAGCCCAGCTACATAACGCCCAAACACGATGCGCTGTTGACCTTTTTTTGCTTTGGATATTAGGAGATCCACAGAGTGCAACCGAAACGTATTAATACACTATAGCTTGGAACAGCTTGAGCTTGTTCAAATAAAACACTTTAACGGTTTAAAACGCGATATATTAGTTATTTTGCAAAGCATCCGAAACGTCGGGCCGAAGTTAAAAATCATTTTCAAATAAGTGTCACTAATATATCGCGTTTTAAACCGTTAAAGTGTTTTATTTAAATGTGTACTACTCACGTAAACTATAGACAGCTTGAGCTTGGTTTAAAAGCTAGGATAGATTGTGAGAATCTCCCCGACCACGATTGCAGAACTGTTAGACTATATAAAATAACGTTTACTATATAAATGTGTAGGTGGTAGGAATATCGGATTTTCGGAGCCTTCTTTTATTTCTTTAAAAAAATCATTGATTCACGTAGCTAACTAGATACACTAGTTAAAAGCTACAAACAAAGGCTCAAATCAAGGGCGTAGAAATAACGAGAAGAACTGGCAAGAGACTCGCCGCCACTCCTTCTAACGCATGTTACAGTTTTACAGATTCTTGTTTGTGTAATTTAAGTACACGAACTAAGTATTATAGTACAGTATAACGTTTTATTGGAAGGAGACAGAACTAAAAACATCAATGTCCCGAACATTAGTTCGCGAACACAATTTACTATCGGGAAAGTTTTTAAACGTACAACAGGCGTATAGCGAAAGTTTTAAATAAAAATCTAACAAGTCAAATGAACTCCGAACTTTGGAAACTCACATTTCTTTATTTCCTTCATCAAATACCCGTTCATGTTTTAATGTTATTTGAAAACTGCGCAACATTTTGTAGAGAAAGTTTTAAGACTCAAATGAAACGCGTTAAACGGTTTAAACGGGATATATATATTCCCAAATTTATTTCAACGTGAGACGGAGCAAGTATTTTTTATTATTTCTTTCTGCGTTTGGTAAGAAAGAGTGTCAAGAATCATATTATATTTAATAATACGTGTCTTTATTAGACAATCAACTGTATACACACGTACAGTACTATAGTTTTTCAAATAAAACACTTTAACGGTTTAAAACGCGATATATTTTAGTTAAACTTATTTGTATTTTTAACTACGGCCCGACGTTTCTGATGCTTTGCGGCAGCCGTTGTCAAGGGGAGACAAATTCAAACAAGTTTAACTAATATTTATCGCGTTTTAAACCGTTGAAGTGTTTTATTTAAATGTGTACTACTCGCGTAAGCTACATACAGTACTATAGTTACAATAAAACATCATATATAACATTACCAGTAGTCGTTATATGTACCTACTGCGATACTTGCCGCATTGTTGGCTTTACCTACTACTCGCCGACTGTTTTAGTTGCCGGACTTTATAGACTAGTGGCCAATTGTGATAGTTGTTGAATAGTGGAGGTTACAGACCTCTCCCGACTCCAATACTTGCCGCATTATTGGCTTTACCGACTACGTACCAACTGAGATTGTTGGCTTTACAGACAGCTGGCTGACTACGATAATCGACGTAAAGTTGGCTTTACCTACTAATCGCTGACTGTTTTGGTTACCGGATAGTAGACTTTATAGACTCGTGGCCAATTGTGATAGTTGTTGAATGGTGAATTTTACAGACTACTCGCGACTCCAATACTTGTCGCATTATTGGCTTTACCGACAACCCTGGTTTGACCAACTACTCACCGACTGTTATTGTTGTCGAATAGTGGACTTTATAGACTAGTGGCCAATTGCGAAGTTGTTTAATGACTACTGTGCGATAATCGGCATATAGTTGGCTTCACCCACAACTCGCCGACTGTGTCAGTTACCTGGTAGTTGGTACTTCCGACTACTTGCCGACTGTGTTGGTTGACGGATTGTTGGCTTTACCGACTACTCGCCAACGGTGCTCGTTGCCACATAGTTCGCTTTAACAACTAGTCACTGGCTAATCGTTGTATCTCTACTTATTGCCTCTCAAAAACCCAACAACCCATAGTTCTATCCTAATATTTGTATAGCCCTTTCGTTTTTAGTCTTTAATTCTTATATAATGTTTCACAATTAGTTTTAATCAGTTTTTTTTTCGACAGGAGGACGAGCGGCTGCATGCGAATATGAATTTAACACAGACCCAGTTTCCTGGGACCAATGACACCAACTGTAAGTAAAAGACGGATAAACCTACAACACATAAGTGCTACGAAAAGATCTTTGACAGGAAACTTCAATATTATTATAGTTTCCTTTCAAATATTTTTTATGTAATGTTTTAATTTGTTTTTCAAATGTTATTACACATATTAAGATGCGCTGTCGGCCTATATAAACTAAACATTTAAAAAGAAAATATTTATCTTAATTAATTTGTAACGGGTTCGTTTATTTAATGACAATTGTTGGCTAACAGGTCGTGGGTGCGATCCCAACCGGAACTAACACATTTCTCATAAACTTGGACTTTGACAACGACAACACTTGAAAAATCAAAGCTAAAAAAAGGTCGACAGCGTATTTTCCATCAAGTAACCTCATGCTTGGCTCCTCTATCATAAAATTAATTCTGACTTAAATGTCTAACAGCTAAAAAGTTTCACCTAAAATATAAGTATAAAGATAATGAAACGACGATGTGCAGCGTCACTTTTAACAAGTATTAAATATAACGCTGTTCTTGAAAATTACTCAGATTTTCACATTTAAATTTTAACATGTCCACAAAGCATCGTCAAATTCTTATATCACTTTTATTTACATTGAATTATATGAAGGCTTTAAAATATCATAGCGGCGGGATTTGAACCTAGACCCAATGGTATCGATATTGGGGTGCGGTGGTAAAAAAATTAAAAATTTCTCAAACGCCTCAGTGTAGTTACGCGTGTTGTGTGTTACATGTAAAAAAAACATTTTAACGGTTTAAAACGCGATATGTTAGTTAAACTTATTGAAAATGATTTTTAACTACGGCCCGTCGTTTCAGATGCTTTGCAGCAGTCATGGTCACGGGGAGACTTAGTGCAAATAATTTTAAATTAAGTTTAACCAACATATATCGCGTTTCAAACCGACCCGACCTTTCGGATGCTTTGCAGCAGCCGTGGCCACGGGGGAGACTGTAGCTAGGGAAAGTTTTATTTACATATTATAAATCTATATAATACATTCTACATATATCATTTTCACGTCTGGAACAACACAGCTATTAAATATAATAAATAATTAATCTCCATTTCTTAAAGTTATTTCGGGTGATTCACTTCAGCGGTTACAGCTGAATCCTTAATTTATCAATGTGTCACAGACAGACAGTTATTAGGTTCTTACAATCTGTTTCATTTCTTTATATATATACTAATACTAGCTGAGCCTGCTAACGTTGTTTTGACATTGAAATAATTTTACCAAAATGTCTATTAAAAAGAAAGGGTTGATCGTAGAAGGGTGAAAATTGAGGATTGTATGTATTTTTGTATGTTGTATCGCATAAAAAAATTGAAATTAAAAATTTTAACGGTTCAAAAATTATAAAAGTAAACTAAAATAAGGGTTTTGAACCACCTTATCATAGAGGGTCATGGGAGACGGGGAAAGTAGGCCGATGTTGTCTATTCTCAGACCTATTGAATACACATAATGAAATTTGGTGTACAAAATCGGTACGCATATTATTGCCGTTTCGGGGAGTTCGCCGAAGTTAGCGAGAAGAGGACACCGTGACACGAGAATTTTATATATTACGGCAGAAGATTATGAAGCTGAAGAATTGTGTGCTCAAATATTGAAAGCGATAATCTCAGGAACTACTGGGCTTTTGAATTGATAAATTCTTATCTTTAGTTATATTCCCGCGAACAGGGGGTTTATCGAAGGAATGTATTCTAGGCTATGAAAAACATTACGCCCAGACTAATAGGTCTAGACGACGAAGATCACAAATACGTATTGAGAAGAACTGTCTATAGGTTTACGCTAGTAGTGACACATTTAGCAATAAACCTTGATTCCGAGACTTTAACGGCTTTCACAAAACGCGTCTATGTTAGTCCATAAACTCATATTACTAGAAAATTGGATTTTTAACTTCGGCCAACGACGTATTAAACGGAGCTTCGCAGCAGCCGTGATCAGCGGGAGAGAGAAATTCTGATCGATGGCCCGAAGTTAAAAATCATTTTCAATAGGTTTAATTAATAATAAAATTATTTAAAGGGGGGCCTTTGGGCCGGGGGGGTTTTTTTGGGGAAACCATTGCATGTAGAAATAAAAAATAAAAAGATAATTTAAGTAAACAATAAAATGTCAACATGAAAAACAAAATTAAACAAAGACCGTTAAAGTGTTTTATTTAAACGAAGTTAAATATTCATCTTTGCGGGCTATCGTTGCGTGCGCCGCGAAAATGGTTAAAGATATTAAAAAAAAAGAATTGTAAAGAACGAAAAAAATGTTGCGCTTTTTAAATAACAATTAATTCTCGAAAAAACGGTTTTTATCGCAATCGAATTTATTCGAAATGAATGCGTTATTATTGTTTCATTAGACGTGTATCGACATTATGTTTTTTACTAAGAAACTTCTCGTGTTTAAAAGCAACGGACTATTTGTGTAAGGCTTTCACGGCCAACGTTCAGCATATCATTGTCTTTCGGGTGTGGCGAGGAGCGAGAAGAGGTTCTCTCCTCTTCTCGCTCACACCAACAAAAGGGCGTCAATTTATTTATGTAAATAATTTACAATTATTAACAAATAAATAGTCCTCTTAGTTATTTACAAGCTTTGTCGGTGTTTTTTTTTAACAAAGATCTCCTTCTCATTTGTCAAAGGCGTCGGGTGCTTAAGCTTTGTGCGGAATTAATTAGCTGTAAAGTGCCCGATTAGGACCATTATAAGTCACTAGAGCTTCGGATAAATACAAATTAGACGTTACGCTTCAGTGATCGGGGTTTGAAGCCGGGGGGGGGGTTAATCTGTAAGTATTTACGCGAGTAGTATTTAGATAAAATATTGTAACTGTTTTGAACGCGAAATATATTTATAATGTATTAGCTATCGTCGGGACTTTATCATCCCTTTATAACATAAAGTTAATGGATAAAAAAAGCATATAATTAAACACTGTGGAAGCCGGTTCAAGTCCCGCCAATTGCATTTAAATTTTTCACGCACGCAAATTGCGTTTTAAACCGTTAAAGTGTATATTACGCTTTAACAAAACACTTAACGTTTGCACTAACACTTAATAAAGAAATTAACAGTTTAAAACGCGAAATATATAGGTAACTTTACAATTATTTAATCTGTAGTTTTAACTAGTTGAAATAAATACGAAATAAGTAGTTGATAGTTAACAAATGTGTACTCCTCGCGTATTTAACAGACGGGAATTACATGTGAAAAATAGCAAAGATTCCTATGATCTCCAACATACAGTTCTGAATTCCAAAATTTTCACCGTGAAGTTAGCGCGACTGCCATCTTGCGCACGGTACTGTCAATTTTACTTACGAAAACGACTCCCCTCCACCACCCCTCTGTCGCGCTGCTTTTTGCGTTCTGCGCATTTACCGGCGCTAACTTTAGCCCGACCAAAAAGTTTGGAAAGGTACTATACAACCTACTGTACTAATTGTTTTTTGACAGATGACGTCACGACAGAGTGGTCCGATGACAACTGTTCCTGGGTGGACGCGGTGTCCTGGGGCTGCAACGCCACTCTCAACTTCACCGGAAACGCGACCAGCGGTGATGTGACGTCGCTCGTCCTCATGGCGGCCACTTCCGTAGTTCTGGCGCTCATCATCTTAGCCACAATCATTGGTAAGCTTCATACTACATCTTTTAAATTAAAATACAGTATCGCTCACACAGTAAAAAATACGCTTTTTTTAGTCCCTATGTACGCTTAATTCTTTGAAACTACGCAACAGATTTTGATGAGGTTTTTGATAGATAGAGTGATTCCAGAGGAAAGTTTGTATGTATAACGTGCACAATTTTTCTGTAGTGTATTTAGCATTGCACACGAGCGAAGCCGAGGCGGGTCGCTAGTAATTATAAAAAACAACACAAACAAATAAAATACAAATATAATATATATAGTAATACAATGTTATTTATTTACATTGCAGAGTTAGTACAAATGCAACCTTATCGTCAATGGCCATTTCTTTCAGGCAACCTTTATATAAAGAAATGGTCAAAAAATGAGTAAACGTCAACAAGAACGCATTTTTACTAATACTAAACGAAACGCGCTAAATTATTTATTACTAGATGTGCCAGCGACTTCGTTCGCTAATAATATAGATTTTAGGCAACCAGACTCGTTCTTGCAAACCCGCTTAGCTTTAAAAACTTAAGCTGTTACGATAGACATATAGCGTCGCGGACATTTTTTAGATCATTTAAAGAGGAATCATTCTTTCATACATATATTTTGGGCATCTTGAACCGTTATCGCAGCGAACGCATCGTAAACCCACAGAGATGAAAATTTTCCCCCGTTTTTTTACATTTCCCGCTACTACTTCGCTACTATTGGTCACAGCGCCATATTTTATAGCCTATATAGCCTTTCCGAATAAATGTTCTAACTGACATAAAAATATTTTTTCAATTCAAACCAGTAGTTCCTGAGATTAGCGCCTGCAAACAAACAAACAAACTTTTTAGCTTTATAATCTATAAGAGCCCGTTCCAATATAAGATGCGTTACTGACCTTTTTGGACTAGATATTTGCAAAGATTTTCCGGCCGAGTTGTAACATGTTTCAGAGAAATTATACATTGATTACATATCAGACCCGGTGGAAATCGACCCGTTGATTATTAGACGAGTCTTTCGACTCTTCAAATAAATTGATCAAGTACGACACTAATACGTTAATAATCCCCAGTTTCTTTGTGATTATATCAGCTTGGATGAACTTGGCAACGCTCTTGGCTGGAATCCAAGCGGTATTAACTAGTGATGGGCCAAACGTCGTAAACCGAATCTTCGGATATTTAATTCGGTTATTGAACTAAGGATTTCGATTTAATAAATGCCAATACTGTGTGTAGTTTACGCGAGTAGTACAGATTTAAATAAAACACTTCAACGGTTTTAAACGCGATATATTTTAGTTAAACTTGTTTGAAAACTATGTTTTTTTAACTACGGCCCGACGTTTCGGATGCTTTGAAGCAGCCATGGTCACTCCCCCAAAAGTCTCCCAAGTTTAACTACAATATATCGCGTTTTAAACGGTTACAATTGTTTTATTTAAACTAATAAATGCATTTTCCTATTTTTATTTCCTTTGACTGTGATTATAGTTTAAAACGCTTTAGAGATAGATTTCGCGTTTTAAACCGTTAAAGTGTTATATTTAAATGGATACGTATATATCGAATCAGCACATCCCTAGTATTAACGAGACCTAAACGATATTCCCAAAATACACAGTCTAATGATATGTTCCGTTCGTTCCGAATTTAGATTTCAAATAGTCTAAATGAATTTATATCGCTACAAATAGTTTGAATGAATTCAATTAAAGTTGGTAATTAAGGCGTTCTAGGATTCGAATCCCGACTGAAGATTATTTAAAGACTAGCAAAACTTAAGACTTAAGAATTTGACAAACTATTCTGCGTCATTTAAAAAAAACCTTAACGGTTTAAAACCAATTAACAACTATAGAAAACAATTTAACTATGACCCGACTTGCTTGACGGTTCTTTCCAATATATTACGCGTTTATGCGGAGGTGTTTGACAAATTACTTAACGAGTTCTCTGATTGCAAAGACTTTCCAGGCGAGTTTCAACATGTTTTAGGAACATACTGTCTATAGTTTACGTCTGTAGTACACAGTTAAATAAACACTTTAACGGTTTAAAACGCGATATATTAATTAAACTCATTTGAAAATGATTTTTAAGTTTAGCCAAATACCAACTTCGACGGAACAGATGGCACTAGCGTAGCAATTTTTTACTTTGACATCAGAGACATCCTCCATCTTTAGTCTCCCCGTGATCACGGCTGCTGCAAAGCGTTCGAAACGTCGGGCCGAAGTTAAAAATCATTTTCAAATAAGTTTAACTAATATATCGCGTTTTAAACCGTTAAAGTTTTTTATTTGAGTGTTGTAGGAAAGTTATAAATTGATTAGAAACATATCGGTCCCGATGGAAGTCGACCCCACGACTCGTTGATTATTATTTTTACAGCTACCACTAAAAGCGTAGGGTCGTAGAATTAATTAAAAAATCTAAACCCGATACGCAAATTGGAAAACGCCACCGCTCGCATCAAAGGCTATCCCTAATTTTCCGTTCGGAAAAGTTAATTAAGCTGAAATGAAAAATTATGCTACGTCGGGTAATTAAATCCCCCGAACCCGCCCAGTGTCTACCTTCGATTATTGTAAAGGTAATGTTCGTTATTTCAATAATAAAAAGCGGTCAAGTGTGAGTCGGGCTCGAGTTTTTTATGTTACAAAGTCAGCAGTTTTTAACGGTTTAAAACAGTAAGTATTGTGTGTTATTTCCACGACTAGTACACAGAAAATAAAACACTTTAACGGTTTGAAACAGTAAATATTGTGTATACATTTAAATTTAAATTTTCTTAGATGAAGTAATCTGCTCTCAGGATAAAGGCAATGGAACAATAATGGTTCTTTTAGACTTTTCTAGAGCTTTTGATTGTTTAAATTTGGATATTTTGATTGCCAAGCTACGTCATTATGGATTTAGCCAAAACACAATAAAATGGTTCGATACTTATTTAAGAAACCGTAGTCAGAGGGTTGAGATAAAAAAAGACAATGGTGCTGTTCTTCGATCACAACAAAAACGTGTGCTGAGGGGCGTACCTCAAGGCTCTATTCTAGGACCAACTCTATTCAACATCTATACAGCGGATATACAGAAGCATATCCACAATTGTAAATTCCACATGTATGCAGATGACATACAGCTGTATATCTCTTTTAAGCCAAATGAAGCAAGATCTGCTATTGATCAGATTAATGTCATTATTAAAGCGAGTGACGGCCTGGGCAGAATCTAACTGTTTAGTTCTTAATCCAGATAAAACGAAATTTATTATACTCGGTACTAAAAAGCAGATAACAGATATAGCTGCTAATGACATCAATATAGAAGTCAAAGGAAAGACTATCGAAAGGGTTAAAACTGCACGTTATTTGGGGATTACTATTGATGAGCACCTACGTTTTGAAAAATATATATCTGATACAGTAAGGAATTGTTTTTACCGTCTAAAAGTGCTGTATAAAATTAGAAACGCTTTGAATGTCAACTTACGTGTTAATATCTGCGAGTCCCTGGTCTTATCCAAATTTAATTATGCTGACTCAGTGTATGGACCTCGCCTACTCTCAACATCAAAAAAGTTAATACAGCGGGTACAGAATGCCTGTGCACGTTATTGTTTTCACATACCACCACGAACTCATGTTACTCCATATTTAAATAATAATAATATCCTTAAAATGAATTTGCGTAGACAATTGCATTTTGCTTCCCTCCTTTTTGGTGTAATTAAATATAAGATCCCTACCTATTTATATCAAAAGCTCCATTGGGCTAGTGACTATAATACTACACACTTCACCCGGGCGTCATTGTATATGTTAAGCGTTCCCGCCCACGGAACGGCTGCTTTCCACGGGGCTTTCACTTATAGTGCCACCAAGTGTTGGAACAATATACCACCCCCGTTAAGGACTAAAATAGCACTTACCACCTTTAAGAGACGGTACAAAGAATATTTGCTATCGTTACAAAAAACCGGCGTTGATGGCGCTGTCAGTGGAAACCTATAATATTGAACCCTGAACCATATTATGTAGATGGAATGGAACAATTATTTTTTCTATTTATGCAGCTTGTCTTACTTTTTCTTTGTAAATTTTACTGTATTTTTATTTGTACAACAGCAACTTTATTTTTTTGTTTATTTTAACTTGAGTGTGGCACCGCTGTCCACACTCTAAGGACTTACTGAAAATCAGTTTCAGGTCAACAAAAAGCCTGATATAAACTGAGGAAGATCCTATTCTACTAGCAGCACACAACATTATCCTATCTTGTTATATTAAGTTATACTGTTAAGACAAAATTATGTTTTGTTTTTTTTTATGTTTAGTAATAAGTGTAACATGTGTTTTTATGTGCCCTAGTAGTAAATAAAATTTTTCTTTCTTTTTCTTTCTTTCTTTCTTAAATAAAATTACTTTTAACGGCCTAAAACAGTACGTATTGTGTGTTGTATCCGCAAGTAGTACACCTTTAAATAAAACACTTTTAACGGCCTAAAACAGCACTATTCGTGTACACAGAAAATAAAACATTTTCAACGGTTTCAAACACTAAATATATTTTTAAAGGGTAACTTCTTTCTAATTTACCAGATTAATTCGCAAACGACTTGCCACAGATACAAAACGTAAAGCGCAAAATAAATACAGTGTCGGGTCAGCTTGTCATCAGAACGGAATCAGTTGCACAAACCTATGTCAAGTGATAAGTGGTCGGGATGTGGGTTAAGTAGCTTCTGACGGACTATTAAGCACGTATGGCCGATACGTATTTGCTAAACGGAATTAAGTGAAGTTAAACGACGCTCGAGCGGCCTTTGTTTTCCATAATCACTTTTAACTAGTTAATTTTCAATCTATGTCGTTAAGCAGACTGTTAGCTCATTCAAGTGTGACAATGTTTTGACAATCTATACTAATATATAAAGCTGAAGAGTTTGTTTGTTTGAACGCGCTAATCTCAGGAACTACGAGTTCGTATTA